ACACACACACACACACACACACATATATATATATATATATATATATATATATATATAGTATATATATATATATATATATATATGTTGGAAAACAATAATTTTATATACTTTCATATAAATAATAGGAATTTATACTGTATATATAATAAAATAGGATGATACTGCAAAATTGTATTGACTTACTGTTGCTAGAGTAAACGTTATATAAAATACACGACCCTTAAAAAAGTATTACCTTGTTTAATTAAAAACCTTTGCAAATCTTACGGTCTTAATTTTGTAATTATGTAACATCACTTGTAAACAATTAAAAGATATAGTGATGATAGTAGATGTAGATGGTAGTGTGATACGATGTGCTCTTGGATAATTGCACATCTATTATTGTATCTAACATTTTTACAAGATCGCTCGCTCCTCTTTTATTACATATGCCGATCTTTTATTAATCATCACGTACGTGGAATCGTATGTTGAAAATCACTAGAGATGCATGAAGTCATTAAAATATCATTACGCATTATATAGGCATATGACAGGTCTCAAGGTTATCTTCGAAGCGTAAAATCTCAGATATCTGAAATATTCAACTACCTAAACTGACATTGGGAAAGTAATGACGTAGTCGATCATGGAAAAGATTTTTTTCAGGATAAACCAGTTCGGTAGCGATATGATTTTTCTGCGGTGACTCACGCCATTGAAAATCCTTTTTCAACGGATATTCCATGATGCTGATTTATAAAGCAGTTTATTATGCTTCTGTAGAACATAACGTACATATAGTCCGATTATATGTAATAAAGAATATTTATTTGTATATAATTTTATTTATATATAACATGAAGAGTATATTTTTAATTATTTATTATAATTCATGTGCAAATAATGTGGAAAAAAAGAAAATGTGTAAAGTATAAAAATATTTAATTTTAATATAATTTTTTTATTAATATAATTTACATTTACAAAAAGCAATTTTTTTTAAAATTAAAGCATGTTAAACATGGTTTTTTTTTATTTTATGTAAATTGACTATTTTTCTCGTTATTTTGTATATAAAAAGCATTAAGAAAGTATGATTTTAAATCAGAAAGAAAGAAAATTTATAGAGATTTATTTATTAATATAAAGAACATTTATTAGAAATACTTGATATTATATATCAAGATATATATCAAGATATTTGATATCATAATACATATACATGTATACAATTATACATCCGACAAAGAGTTTATTGTAAATTTATTGTAAATTATTTAAATTAGCTAATTACTTAAATTAGCTATTTATAGAAAGAGTAATAAGTAAAACTAATTGAGAAATCTATCTTTATTTAAGCATAGAATAATATATTTCTGCAATGTGTGATACACATCTAGATATTTATCAAGAATTTATTTTTAAATTAATTGATTATGAGATAATCAATCAATGAAATTCAACTTATATCGATAGACTTTTCTTTTTATTTATACTCTTAAAATATAATCATAGTCGAATTCTTTAAATTTTCTATCGCTTACAATGATAAAAAGTTACATATATAACAAAATACAATTAATTTTAAGATATTTATACAAGTCATCAGGCGAAGGCCATGTGACTTTTTTATTTTGATATTTTGATATTGGCACACGACCGATACTTTCCTTGCCCAGTCGGCATGCTAATGTATTCGATAGTTTTTGAATAATTCGCATAATCATATTTGCATGAGTAAATATGCGGAAGAATCTCTCGTCTTAACACACACAATTAAATCACGGTCTATAAGGACTATTGACTGATTACTCTCCCGTTACTACGTTATAAAGCGAATGCTGGAGAGGAGCAATTCAGTAGTCCTTGTGCGGTGTTCGTGCGTCGTCAGGATTCATTATCCACCGCAGGTCTTCTCGAATTTTTTTTCTGTGCAACAAGAAGATCGTGTGTGAGCATGTTTATAATAATTAATTATATAAATTGTCCAACAACAAAGTTGAATTGTCTCTGAAGAGGATGCAAAATCTTTAAAACTTTGATACATAAAGCACTTAGAAAATGGCACGGTTGAAAATTTTTTTTCATCAATTATTAACGATTATTAATAAATATAATAATTGGTGAATAATTGTTATTAATTGTTTAAAATTTTGTTTTCGCAAATGAACGGCAAGACTGTCTTTCTGTCTCAGCAGTGACGAGGTGTCGAAGGGCATTACATCAATTTAAATCTTAATTTCGATTCTAGTAGTGCTATTACAAATTGTATGTGTTGAAAATGAATGTAAAAATAAAGATCACAGTATATTTACAAAAGAATTGCTGAGGTCTGCGTATGTGAAAAAGATTTGATAATTTCAAGTTGGTAGAAACAAGTTTTGTTTGATACCGGTTTGTTTGATAAACGGAACGCTTATTTTGAAATCGTAAGTGACGCTACATTCTTGTAATAATCATATTTAAAGTAATCACAGAGATGACAGATTTGTGTTCGTTTTATCGTCAGCTATTTCAAGATTTACCTTTCATACATCTTATAACATACATTTTAGAAGGAAATATAATTTGAAGCGTTTCTCCAGACAAGATATAATATATGATATCTATATTTAGTAATTAAAAAATCATTATTTATTTATTTGTTTATTAGTAAAATTTCTAATATATGATAATAAATAATGTTGTAACTGCTCAGTTTTTATCAAATTTCATTTAGCAGAAATTTAAAGAACTTCAAAC